AATAATAATATATTGTAATAATCATTAACAACAATATATTGCAATAATCATTAACAACGATATATTGTAATATATATAGTAACAACAATATATTCGAATAATCATTAACAACAATATATTTGAATAATCATTAAAAACAATATATTCTAATAAACATTAACAACAATATATTCGAATAATCATTAACAACAATATATTTGAATAATCATTAAAAACTATATATTCTAATAAACATTAACAACAATATATTGCACTACATATTAACAACAATATATTCCAATAATCATTAACAACATATTCCAACAATCACTAACAACAACCCATTATAACATTTCCACAAACACTTAAAAAACCTCAAAGGACAAGAGGTTAAACAGTTACGTCCTTGTCACGAGACGTCCCAAATAGAGCCGCTTGACCAATTGCGTGATTTATGCGTCGACAGCCAATTATTTTAAGAGGTTTTTACCCGAGGGAACGATTTACGGTAATATCGCGTCTCATCGATTCCCAGTCGGCCTCTTCTTCCACGGTATCGTCCTATCGGGCTCGCTTCTTCCGTCTTTTCTTCCCCGCCCCTGTGTATCAGCTGAATGCACGATTTGTGTCAGGAATCTGCGGGCTCGTCGAACAGGAAATTTATTCTGTCGAAACCGGAGGAAACGAACAACTGTCTGCGACGAGTGGAGATTGTGTCTTCATTGGACGGAGAATATTTTTATATCCAAGGAAGGTTGCTATATGGTTTTACTTTTTGAGGTTAGTTGTTTGATATTTTGTTTAGAATTATTATTGAAACTATGAGATATTTTATTTACAATCATTATTGAAACTATTAAATATTTTATTTACAATTTTTTATCATTGAAACTATTAAATATTTTCATATCAATATTTTAATATTGAAAGTATTAAATATTTTATTTACAATCATTATTGAAACTATTAAACATTTTATTTAAAATTATTATTTTCATCCAATTTGAAGAACAATATAAATTGTTCAATGGACTGATAACATAAGATAATAGAAAATAAATGAAATAAACAATAATTTATTTAAATATTAGAATAAATAAGATACTACAAAATAAATGAAATATTAGAAAATAAAGGAAATAAACAATAGATTATTTAAATAATAGAATCTACATATACACATAACCTATTCAACAAATATAACAATAATTTTGTAATTTTATAGTCATCCAAATTCCATTTTAACAAACAAATTTAAATAATAATATAAATTTTTCAATGAACTGTTGAAATGACATAATAGGAAATCAATTAAATAAACAATAATTTATTTAAATATAAGCATAAATAAGATAATATAAAATAAAACGAATAAACAATAGATTATATAAATAATAGAATAAATAAAATACAACAAAATAAATGAAATAAACAATTATTTAAGTATTAGAATAAATAAGATAATATAAAATAAATGTAATAAACAATTTTCCTTATTACTATTTCAGTCACATTTTTCGGGTCACCCTGTACAACACCCTATCGATCAGTTTACCGTCTAACACCATTTTATTCCGGTTTCCACCTTCAAACAGTTCGAGGATGTAGGTCATCCGAGCGGTGCGTGCTCGTGTTATGAAATATTAGATAAACGCGAAAATACATGTAAGCATTGCTGAACAACCAACCTTCTGAATGCTTAAGGGGATCAGCGAGGCAACTTTCTCCGCGTCATATCTTGGTAGACTGTGACTCACCGGAGGGAACTTTGTACGTGAGGATGGAAATTATCCGTGTAGCTTGTAGGTTAGGTGATTGCAATTTTCTCGTGTGATTATTTTAGATAGTAATATTTTTTATTATTTTATATTTGTTTTATATTGTTTTATATTTCTAGTTTTACATTATTTTATATTTATTTTATATTGTTTCAAGTGGTTTATATACCATTTTATATTTATTGTATATTGTATGACGAAAGGTATGAAATGTTGTGCCAGTGAATTGCTGAGATTGTGCTGAATAAAATAAGCCAAACACGATGGGAATAGGACTAGTTTTATGGTCTCAATATAATAAACAAACCTAAAGGTTCGTTTCCATCAAATCCAAAAACCACTCCGATTCCCACCGTATTTGTACTCATTTTAATCGGCACAATCTCAGCAATCCATTAGTACCACATTTGAATAAGTAAAGTTAAACACGTAGTGAAGAAAATATCAATTGCATTATTTTTATCTTTATATTCTCAAACATAGTACCAGTGAATTGCTGAGATTGTCCCGATTAAAACGAGTCCAAACACGATGGGGATCGGACTAGTTTTACAGCTTCAAAGTAATTAACGAACCTAAAGGCTGGTTTCCATCAAATCCTAAAACCACTCCGATTCCCATCGTGTTTGGACTCATTTTAATCAGCACAACCTCAGCAATCCATCGGTGCCACATTCGACAAGCTAATCCATCGGTGCCACATTCGACAAGCTAATCCACCACTACACAAATTCTTCCAGCCTTCCAACTCCACCAACCACAATCCACCATACAACCAAAAGGAGACAGCCATTCTCGTCTGCCAGGAATTGTTACCAAACGCCATCTCGTAAAAGGAAACAATCACTAGTTGAGCGTTTTATGACCGGTCTAGTGAGCCAACGCATCAATCCTAACCTCGTCGCTGCCAGCGTGTACTGGGACGCTCGAAATGTACGATCATTTTCTCGTCACGTATCGGGAAAGTGGGGCCCATGAAACGGATTGATATCTGTTTGATAGGATATCGACCGTGCCGCAGAAATAAGGCTGAGCATCGCCGGAAAAAGAAGTGTAAGGAGATTTTCTCTTTGCCCGGCAGATAAAGGCTGCAGGCGTGTTCGATTACGAGACGCTCCCTTTTCCACCGTTGTTGTTTCGTGGGTACGTTGTTTTCGCGATGCCACTTATTCTGAAAGCGGAAGGAGCATCCTGCTGGCTTTGTGTATAGACACTGTTTTTTGCAGTGATCTCCATGAGGCTGTAGACAATATAGTGCTGTAAAATATTATTTATAAAATTATGTAAAAATTTGTTTTTGTATTGTTTTTGGCTTTTGGTTTTTATATTGTTGTTGGTAAGTAAATACTAAAATTTTACACAACAATAATAATAATTTTATTATTTACTTTAGTATTCAAGTATTTTATTGTCGTTGTTGGTAAGTATTTTGTTAGTGTTGTTGGTAAGGATTTTATTATTGTTGCTGGTATTTTGTTATTGCTGTTAAGCATCCTGTAATTTTATAATATTCCCCTGAAATTAAATATTTAATATATCAATTGCTTTTAGCTTTATATAAACCATGAATAATTGAAAAATATTTTAAAAAGTTGACAGTTATTTTTAACTTTGTATAAACCGTGGATAATTGAAAAATATTTTAAAAAGTTGACAGTTATTTTTAACTTTGTATAAACCATGGATAATTGAAAAACATTTAAAGAAGTTGACAATTATTTATAATTTTACACAGACCTAATGTCACAATTTTTACAAGAATTACATACTAATCGTAATAATTAATTAATTAATGTGCGGAATATTCCGCTTAGGGATGCGAATGGTAATGTATCAAATATTCAAAATGACTTTGAAAATAATCAATTTCACTTGAATTTTATAACAAACATCGAAATTAATTGAACCTAACCTATTGTTACAATTTTATAAATAAATAGTTTCTCCTGAAAAATGTAATTAATATATATATATATAGAAACTGAATATAACCTAATGTCACAATTTTTACAAGAATTACATATCAATCATAATAATTAATTAATTAATTAATGTGCGGAATATTCCGCTTACGGATGCAAATGTCTCAAAAGCCTCAAATATTCATAATAATTTTGAAAATAAATAGTTTCACTTGAATACTATAATGAATATTCAAAATAATCTAGAACCTAACCTATAATTAAATTTTCATACCAATGACACACCAACCATATTAAACACTCAATAATCCTCCCATTAATTTGTGGTTAGAATCCACCTTCTTCTCCAGCGACACACGAAAGGGTTCACTGGCACGAGTGCCGGGTTCATTTGAAAAATCCGAATCGCAATTTACGAGGAAGTTCTCGCGTGCGGCCGAGTAGTTTTGCATTCCTCAGCGTTTAAGGGCCGATCCGAGCCGACCAACGGTAATACACGCGCCAAACCCGAGCTCCAATTGCGGGGCCGAATTGTTCGCCGGCGAACTTCGCGAATCGATATTTTACGGTGACCTTCTGATAATTGCTGGCTCATCTCGCGGGTATTCTCGAAAGTCGAATCTCCCTGGATCGATATGTCAATTTAGTCGATCGATAAATTAACAGAGAATATTTTTATTTTTAAAATATTCATTATTTTCTGATGGAATATTAATATTTTTGTAACTATTTCATTGCAACTAATCATTTCGTTAGAGCAAATCAAATGGGTTGACCTTTGAACTTGAGAATGACTTTTTTTAACAAATATGCATTATTTTCTGATGGAATATTAACATTTTATATATAAATATTTTTGCAACTATCATTAAGAAGTAATGTGAATTTTAAGTTTTATCATTTCATTGGGTCAAATCAAATGGGTCGACCTTTGCACTGGAGAATATTCTTTTTAACAAATATTCTTTTTAACGAATAATAATAATAAGAAAAAGAATTAAACATAATATTAAGAATAATAATAAAACATAATAATAATACCAATTAGAAGAATAGTTAAACATAATATTAATAATAATAATAAGAAGAAAAAGAAGTACATCACTACTAGTTACAAATTATAAATAACCTGAATATTGGAAAATGAATGTTACATAACTATTAAGTTCAAGAATAACACAATTCAGTTTAAAAATAATAACAACGGAAATTCTGTTGTAAAATTCAAATTTGCCTGTTGATTCTTCCAAGAAGCATTATAAAAAAATAAAAAACAGAAAATTAGAAAAATATTCCCACAAAAAATTACAAAAGTATTTCCACAAAGAATTATAAAAATATTACCACAAAGAATTATACAAATATTTTTACAAAAAATTATAAAAATATTTCCACAAAGAATTATACAAATATTCCCAAAATAAATTATGAAAATATTTCCTCAAAAAATTATAAAAATATTGCCACAAAAAAATTATACAAATGTTCTCACAAAAAATTATAAAAATATTTCCTCAAAAAATTATAAAAATATTCCCACAAAAAATTATAAAAGTATTTGTAATTTTAAATAAAATATAAAAATTATAACTACGAGAAAACTGTTTCTAACCATCTTTCGCCACTTAATCCATTCTAAATTTAACATCCTTTGTTATCAGCAGACCTAACCTCACTCGTCAACTTTTCCCTCGAAATCTTCCAAGCTCCCCGCGCCGTTGATAGGTAAGATATTTACCGGAAACTACGGGGAAACGAACAATTCGAGGAAAAGCGTGTCCTCGATCTAATTAACAAAATAAACCGACCCAAAAACTCGGCACATTATTTGCGAGTGCAAATAGACTGGGAATAAAGATGCCCGCGGAAGTCGGTCCTTTCGGACGGTAATCAAGGAACTCACGACTGCGCAGTCTCAACGAGTCTTCCCTCTTCTTATTGTACGTGCACAGTGCCAGCTGGAGAAGCGTTTCTTTTATCACAGAATTCGGGGAAAGATTTTTGTGTGGAAGCATCTGCGAATGCTTGAAAATATTTCTTGTGATACGATAAGAATTTTTTAATAATAATAATAATAATAATAATAATAATGATGATAAGAATGATGATAAGGTAATAATGATGATAAGAATAGTGATGAGACAATAATGGTAATAAGAATGATAATAATGATGATAAGGTAATAATGATAATAAGAATGATGATGAGATAATAGTGATAATAGGAATGATGACAAGATAATGGTAATAAGAATTTTACATTATAAAAATGTTATGAAATTTTTTTTTATATAAATAAAGAAAATAAAGAATTTCATTACATAATTATTCGAATTTGGAGGTTATGTTCACAAGCAGCCATTTTCTAAATAAAACTCGATTTTCCTATTATAAATAAAAAAACAGAATTAATTTCCACACAATTCTCATTTGCCAAATAAAAATTTAAAAATTCGAATTTAGAGGTTATGTCCACAGATAGCCATTTTCTAAATAAAACTCAACAACCCCATATTTTTTTTATTAAAAATAGAAAAACAATTAACTTGCAGAAAATTCTGATTTGCCAAATAAAACTTTTAAAATTCGAATTTAGAGATGATGTCCACAAGCAGCCATCTTCTAAATAAAACTCGATAACCTCATATTTTTTTTATTAAAAATAGAAAAACAGAATTAAATTGCACAAAATTTCTATTTGCCAAACAAACCTTCAAAAATTCGAATTTAGAGGTTACGTCGGTTACAGACGGCAGCACCACACAACTCCCATTACCTTCCAACACCGTTCCAGTTCGAAGGAAAAAGCCGCGGATATATTCCCCGTGCGCCGTCCGTTGATATATTTGTGGCACAATGTGGGTCAGTTCCGAAGCACGCAGGTGCTTGATACCCGTTCTTCGCGAGCGCCGGCGGAGAGGAAGCGCGGAAAATAACTTTCCCCGCGATCGAACGCCGCGGACGGAACAGTGCGATGCATGCAGATAAATGATCCTTTCATCGCGGCTCGCCGGGAACGTTCTGGACAATGAATATTTTTGAACGTGGCCACTGACGTCTGGGTGACAGGGATTCGTATCGGTGGACGGTTTATATTGTTCTTTGAATTTGTTTGTTGCTATTGGGCTTTGGATGAGTAGACAGTTTTTAAATTGTTGTTGTGTTTATTGGATAGGTTATGTGTATATGTGGATTTTAATATTTATATAACCTATTGTTTATTTTATTTATTTTGTAGTATTTTATTTATTTTGTAGTATTTTATTTATTTTGTAATATCTTATTTATTCTAATAAATTAATTCTAATAAATTCTAATAAATTATTTCATTTATTTTCTATTATTTTATTTTAACAGTCCATTGAAAAATTTATCTTGTTCTTTAAATTTGTTATTTGAAATAGAACTTGGAACTGTACGAGTACAAAATTACAAAATTATTGTTACATTCATTAAATAGGGTATGTATATATACAGATTTTAATATTTAAATAAATTATTATTTATTCTATTAATTTTCCATTATCTTTACTACTAAAAATACAACATTAACAACATATCATTCATTAAATACATCAAAGTAATTGTTAATGCAAACCTTAATTTCAATAACCTATATAAATAAATATATAAAACCTATAAACATTAATACATAAAACATTCATCACCCCATAAAAATCAGAAACTAAATAAAACAAGTAAAAAACAAACCGTTCTATCTGTCACTTAACCTAAAATTCAGAATCAAAATTTTCACTGAATAAAATAAAAAAATGGAATATTCTGAATTTATTGAGATTTCTAGGTAAGTAGACTGATTCCTCTGAATCGGTCGGATTGCTTATTGCGGAATGGAAGTCGATGGAAATTAGGTTGGAAGCGCGCGACGGTCTCACAATAAGTGGAGCTCGCGTATTCTTGGTCAGACGTGTGCAGTGATAAGAACTATATAGTAGCAGACATTCGACTTTCAACGGACTCGTGGAGAACTTTTGGCTTACAAAATTATTAATAAACAATTATTGTTTATAGCGTAATATGTAGAAATAAATAAATTTCATATTGTTTGGTAACAGTAGAAATTTAGTGAAATAATGTTTATTTTGTAATAATTATCAGGTTAGTTTGAGGCGTCAAAATTGTTAATAAACAATTAATGTTCATACTATAATATCTAGAATTGAATAAACTTTATACTGTAACGTGACAGTACAACTTCAGTGAACTAATGTTTATCTTGTAACAAAGTCATTATTATTAAAAAAAATTGTTTAAGGAGGCGTAGAAATTACTATTAAAAAAAATTGTTTAAGCAGGCGTAGAAGTCGATATTAAAAAAAATTGTTTAAGGAAGCGTAGACGTTATTATTATTTAGAAAAATTGTTTAAGGAGGCGTAGAAATTATTATTAAAAAAAATTGTTTAAGGAAGCGTAGAAGTCATTGTTAAAATAAATTGTTTAAGGAGGCGTACAAGTCATTGTTAAAAAAAAATTGTTTAAGGAGTCGTAGAAGTCATTATTAAATAAAATTGTTTAACGAGGCGTAGAAGTTATTATTATTAAAAAAATTGTTTAAGCAGGCGTAGAAACATAAAAGTTAGAAAGCACTGGCTCACGTAGAAGCAGCGAAACGCAGGAGATGCTCTTGATTATTTTAAACTGCTCATTACGACGTTCTTATCGCTTAATTGGGCCAGAACTTCGTTAAAAACGTAACAAATGAACAGACCCTCGCCGAAACTGAATTAGTTGGATCTGGTCCACAGTGTAAACCAATTTACGAGGAGTAACGATGTCATTGTACGAATATTCGAGCGTCATTGGACGTGACATTAGTTTCTCAGTCTAGTGGCTATTATCACTTTGCACTCGGAAGTTTTATTGTCTTTTTATAACAACAAATGAGAATTTCTATTTATTTTAGGATAAATTTTATTTTTTCATTATAATTTTTCTAAATCGTGAATTTTTATAAAACCTAATTCTTTATGATTATTATTTTAGTATTTAGTAAATAAAAAATGTAATATTTAACATAATAATACCTGAGTAAGATCTAACCTCATGATCAATTTTTTAAATAAATTAAGAAAAATAAAATCTTTGTGAATACTGTTTCAGTATTTCTATATAAACAAAAGATTTAATGGTTAACACAATAAATAACTAATCAAGGGCTAATAATCATAATTATTATACAGCAGTATGATTTATTTTTTAAATAAATTAAGAAA